TATATTACATACATTTAAATTTGAGTTCTTGGAAGCAATGCTTCCATCTTGACTAACAGAAATCTTTCCCTTTCCATTCTGACTTAGATTATCAATACTATCTTCTAGTTCTTGCAGTCGAATTTTCTTGGGAGGTAGGTTCATAACTTCCAAAATTAATTCATCTTTTTTGGTTTCCAGCTTCCAACTCAAAAGTCATAAATCTGAGGGAGAAAGGCTCCATTAACAAATTTATTAATTTGTAGTTTTGTTCTGAGAGGCATTCACTTGCTAATTTCAGTAAAAACAAACTTCAATTCTAGTGATTAACATATAAAAATACAAACTGAATTTCCATCCTTGCTAGGTTATTTAATAACCTCATAATGACTAAAAGCTCACAAGTATAATATTTAATATAAAATCTGATCTTTAGGGTAGTCTACTAAGTAAAAATAATTTGGAGACAATTTACTAAGAAAGGTACACAAATGCTGACAATGCTGAAAGTTAGCATATGTTTACAAACCATTTATATATATTAATTGAAAGATGTGCTTTACTATATTCTAGTTTGCCTAATTTCTGTCATTTCTTGTATTAGAATGTAAAAACTTGTATTTCTTTGAAACCATTCTCACATTTCTCTCATTCAGATATTCCTCTCATCTAAATACTCAGAGGATTTTTCTGTTTTGTTTAGACAGGTTTTATTATCCCATTGTTGAATAAATATCTTTTTAAAATTCATTCAGATGACAATTTACTGACTCTAAAGGGAAAAAAATCTTTCACTCAAGCAAATTTAAATTTATTTTATTGAGAAATTAGCTCTCCTGCTTTAATAGAGAAATACAGACACATACATATACAGGTACATTTTGACTCACACAAATATGCTTGTTGTTACCTAAGATCTATAATATCAGTATAACACAGTGCGTATACAGATGTGCATGTATATACATAGCTACATGAATAGAACAGATAGAAATTTAAGAACATTTAAAAAAAACTGTCCTAATATTCTTGTACTTATTTATATAAAATGAAACAAACAAAAGTCGATAACAGTCTCTTAATATAAATTTTTTAAAATCTAATAACAGAATAGGTTATAATGTGTCTAAAAAAATGTGTAAGCAGGGTTACATAAAACTAGTCTTATTACTTTATCGTCATATTGTGCATAAATGAATATACATATATTTAAATCATCATAGCACAAGTACCATTTTTGGTTTTCTTTTTTTTTCTCTTGAGATGGAGTCTCACTCCGTTGCCCAGGCTCGAGTGGAGTGGCATGATCTTGGCTCACTGCAACCTCCGTCCCCTGGATTCAAGCGATTTTCCTGCCTCAGCCTTCTGAGTAGCTGAGATTACAGGCACCTGCCACCGCACCTGGCTATTTTGTTATTTTTGGGTTTCACCATCTTGGCCAGGCTGGTCTTGAACTCCTGACCTCTGATCCACCCGCCTCAGCCTCCCAAAGTGCTGGGATTACAGGCATGAGCTACTGCGCCCGGCCGATTTCTGGTTTTCAAAGTGTTTCCACATACTTTATTAGGTACTGTCTCTTAAAGTCCTGTGAGGTGGGTATTATCATCATTCCCATTTACAGAGGAGTAAAATGAAGCTGGAAAGTGGTGGAACTGGGATTCAAATCCATGTCTTGTAGCTCCAAATCCTAGGTTTTGAATTCAGACAGACTGTTCAAATCCTAGCTTGCTCACTTAATAGCTGTGTAACTTTGGGCAGGTTGCTTAACCTCTCTGTATCTCAGTTTCTTCATCTGAAAATAGAGACAATCATAGTATGTACTTGCCTAATCAGTTATTATGAGAATTATATGAGAACTTGACATATAGTAATGATAATTGAATACAGCATATTATAGCATACTGCTAACTCCTGGACAATTTTTTAAATTACAAGAAATTGTGTGTGTGTATGTGTTGTATGCATACTGTTTATAATGTATTATATTTACATATGTATTATTACTATCTGCCTCTAAAAAGAATATCACTTCTAGAATCAAACATTTCAAGTTACATCTTATGCAAAAAAGTATTATATTAAATGTCAAAGCTCTCTGTATATTACCATAAATGTCAAAGATATCTGTATATTACTTTTGTCATTAATAGCAGTAATAATGACAATAAGCATTTATTTTTAGAGGGCTCTAAATACCTATTTATAAATACAAATGGAAATATAGAAAATAGGAAAAACAGAAAAAGGCAACCATACCCACAATACTTCCACTTAGTAGGACATGTAAGGAGGAACCGATATTTTGTGAAATTCTGTTCAGATATCTTTTAGGAAACATCTACACAAATGTTAAATGCACCAGGGAGTTCATCCACAAAGATCCCACTACACTAAATGTTAAGACAGCTAGATAGAATCACTTAAGAAGGAAATTTAACATTTCTGAGACTCTTCCAAAATTATGATTATCATTTATTTTATTATAGTTTTTTTAATTTAAAAAACAGTTATAGATAGATACTTGCTCTCAAAAGTACAGGCATTCATTGTAAAATATAGAGAAGCTTCCCTTAACTTGAAAAAAAGAAAAAGAAAATACCTTGTATGGAAGTTTATAAGGTGCATGAAAATCCACACCACAGAATCTGAAGATACATCTTGGACAAGTACCAGTATTGAGCAACAACCGGGCCACACACTTGCTTTCCTCGGTCAGTGGGAACATACTGAATAATTATAACTAGAAAGACAAAAGTAAAACTAATGAGCAGCTTCTGCATTTTACTGTCACAGACAAATAAGTCATAATGTTTAGGGATAAAGACTAGCTTTTATTTGAAAAACACTATTGTGTACTCTCTAACCAAGCCCCTTTCTTTATATACGTATTCTAAAATACAGACTTGAAGGAAGTTTATAAGATGGATCCAGTAAAGGTTTCTAATTGTCAAGGAATTTCGTTTAGCATTCTGAATTATGATACATCAATATAACTAAGTTGATCAAAAGAAATAAAAATAATCAAAAATGGTTGCTTCTGAGGAGGATAATGAAAACACAAGTACAGAGTGAAATTTTGTTTTTTCTTTTTTACTATTCGGTATTGTACAAAGTTAATTCATTAAACTTTTCCTATTAGAAATTAGAAATGAGTTTGCTGGTGTTTGGGCTAAGAAAGCCATACCCCAAAATGAAAGCCTCAGCAGCAGCCTCAGAAGCAAATGTTTTTCTCTAACCTTCTGCCCTCTTGTCTCTCAGTCCCATTCTCCCCTAGACTAGCCATAGAAAAACTACAGTCCCTCTTCCTCAAGGTGAGTCATAGAAACCAGAATCCCCTTTCCCTAATGTCAGCCATAAAATCTAAAAATATTAGTCAAATTTGGCTGAGTGCGGTGGCTCGCACCTGTAATCCCAGCACTTTGGGAGGCCGAAGTGGGTGGATCACCTGAGGTCAGGAGTTTGAGACCAGCCTGGCCAACATGGTGAAATCCTGTCTCTACTAAAAATACAAAAAAATAAAAATTAGCCAGGCATGATGCTGGGCACCTGTAATCCCAGCTACTTGGGAGGCTGAGGCAGGAGAATCACTTAAATCTGGGAGGTGAAGGTTGCACTGCGCAGATATGGCACCACTGTACTCCAGCCTGGGCGACAAGAACAAACCTTCGTCTCAAAAAAATAATAATTATACACACATACACACACACACATACACACAACTCAAATTTTCCCTCCACTTTCCTGAGTAAAAACTGACCATGAAAAATGAGGCAAGGTGCAGTGTCTCACACCTATAGTCTGACCACTTTGTGGGGCCGAGGTGGAGGATCATTTGAGGCCAGGAGTTTGAGACCAGCCTGGGCAACACCATGAGACCCTGTCTCTACAAAAAAAAATGAAAAATTAGCTGGACATGGTGGTGCACACCTGTAGTCACAGCTACTCAGAAGACTGAGGTGGGAGGACTGCTCGAGCCCAAGAGGTAGAGGTTGTAGTGAATCAAGATCATGCCACTGTACTCCAACCTGGGTGACAGTGCAAGACCCTGTCTCTAAAAAGCAAAGGAAAAAAAAAAAAAGACAAATTATCTGACCTCTCTTTGACTGTAGGTCAAAAGACCCTTCATTCCACAACAGGTCCTGCCCTACACCTAGAAGGAAGGAATGCATGCTCTGAGAGGCCGAGAAGAACCCAGACAGACAGGCTTGCTGGGTTTCCCCATTCAGTTAATTACCCTTTTTTGTCTAATCATATTTCTACGAGCTGCCCATACTTTGATGAAACATAAAAATGGACAATTTCCTGTTATCATGTCTTCATTCTGAAGCCTCCTGTGTATACACATTACATAAACGTGTATGCCTTTTCTCCCATTAATCAATTTGCCTGATGTCAGTGATTTTCGGGGAAGCTCTAGGTGGCTAGGGGCCTCGGCATTCAGACTAGACAAAAAAATCAGACCAGTCTTCATTTTATAATACTTGACTGCACTTAATGATAGTTTAGCAGTCAACTATTTAAAACAAATTGAGGCCGGGCACAGTGGCTCACATCTGTAATCCCAGCACTTTGGGAGGCCGAGGCAGAAGATCACTTGAGGTCTGGAGTTCAAGACCAGCCTGGCCAACATGGAGAAACCCTGTCTCTACTGAAAATACAAAAATTAGCTGGGTTTGGTAGCGGGCACCTGTACTACAGCCTGGGTGACAGAGCAAGACTCTGTCTCAAAACAACAACAAACAACAATGACAACTGATCAGCTGGTCCAAAAATATCAACTTTACTTTGATGATATAATGACTAAATGGCAACCACCTATTAACAAAATAAAAATCTGTCCCTTTCATGAGTAAAATCTCCAACAAAAGGCCAGGCGCGGTGGCTCACATCTGTAATCCCAGCACTTTGGGAGGCTGAGGCGGGCAGATCACCTGAGGTCAGAAGTTCGAGACCAACCTGGCCAACATGGTGAAACCCCATCTCTATTAAAAATACAAAAAATTAGCCAGGTGTGTTGGTATGCACCTGTAATCCCAGCTAACAGGAGGCTGAGACAGAATTGCTTGAAACCAGGAGGTGGAGGTTGTAGTGAGCCAAGATTGTGCCGCTGCACTCTAGCCTGGGCAACAAGAGTGAAATTCGGTCTCAAAAAAACAAAACAAAACAAAACACAAACCTCCAACAAAAACAAATTAAGTACAAAATATTTGAGTGCAATTGTTTGCTTAATTAAGTAGCCAATTTTTGCAATTTAAACAAACTGACAAAAAAATACTATATAGAGAATAAGGGCAAATCTGTCTCTTGTTACCAGGAAAGAGGCGTACTAAAAATTCAAACAACCTAATTTGTTTAGCAAAACTAGATCTTCTAATTAGTGAAACAGTCCGTATTACCTTAAAATGATATTTAAAGCAATATTTTAGAAAATAATCAATGCATAGCAATCCTTTTCTTTTTTTTTGAGACGAAGTCTTGCTCTTGTCATCCAGGCTGGAGTGCAGTGGTGTGATCTTGGCTCACTGCAACCTCCACTTCCCAAGTTCAAGGGATTCTTCTGCCTCAGCCTCCTGAGTAGCTGGGATTACAAACACGTGCCACCATGTCCAGCTAATTTTTGTATTTTTAGTAGAGACAGGGTTTCACCATGTTGTCAGGCTGGTCTTCAACTCCTGACCTCGTGATCTGCCCCCCTCAGCCTCCCAAAGTGCTGGAATTACAGGCGTGAGCTACCACGTCCAGCCAAAATAATCACTGCATGGCAATCTTATGACATGCTGTAACTGTGGTCATGAAAGATGAAAGACAGTGGCATCTTGTAATTTGTGCAGTTTCATAATTCATAATTCAGTTTCAAAACCGTTTCTGTTTCACCTGTTATTCTAAGTTATTTTGTCTCCATTAGTCAAGGTCAAGAATTTTACTTAATTCAGAAGTAACATTTAACTCAAAAAGAGACACAAACACACCCTCTTCCAATAAACAAATCAATAAGCACTTTAAAAAGGACACTTAACGAAGATTTCCCTTGAGATTTAAGTAGCTATATTAAAATTTATTTTATTTTCTATTGCTGTAAGACAATGTTTATTTCCCCAGTAAGTTCACAAGAACAAAGGTATCATGCAAAGTAAATAAATGACATATTACAATATACTGGCTCTGAGAAGTTCCCAAACCTAATGAGAATTACAAAACTTCCAGTTCTGAGTAATTTGAATAGGTCTAAAAATAGTCCTCAAACAAAAAGACCTTTCTTTGAATGTATATGTTAATAAACGAGCTACGAATTTACAAACCTCTCAACATTATTTTCCCCTAGCAACAATCTAGCAACGTCTCAAGAATATTAACATTAAAAGGAGAAAATATCTTACGCCTTAAATTTGGTCGTTTCATCTTGATGTAATGAAATGTCAGGATTCCTTAAGATATCAGAAATCGGTTGTCCACATTAGATTTACTATGTTTGAAAGCAAGCCCTGAGAAAGGCATCCCACAAATTTTCCAGTGTTGGTTACCCTCAAGATGTTCGCTTTTCGTTTACGTGTTTGTTTTACAGAAATAACTCTGTAACAAGTTGCTACAAAGCCGCCTTTTCACGTGTCAGGCTCCCTCCGAGGACTGAATCCCTCCTCCCCAAAACAAGGATAACTAGTCCAGTCTCTGGCTTACTGGAGGAGAGGACTTTATTTTCACCTCTTGGACGATTGCAAAACAAGTCATCGAAAACGAGGAAACGAGTAGTGCATGAAAAAAACTACCGAAACGACCAAACGAACGATATCCTAAGATGTTTTAAAACTCATTTCCCTACCGAAAGGTGTCATTCGTACCGCAGCATGGGGCTGGGGTGTAGATTTACGGGGAAGGAGGTGATCACACTTCACTGGACTTCTGAAACATTCAGCTATGGAATCTACCGTGGACTCTTGAAAAGTTAATCTCGAGATCTAACCTCAAGCCTCAGTTTTAGCCAAGCTAGCCCTTCCCCCTTCGGTCAGGTCCAACAAACTTCCCACTCACCCCTCCTTTGCTAACAAAGCCGTTCCAGCAGGAGGGAAGTGACCTCTCTCCCGCCACACGTCTTCTGCACCCAGTCTGCACCCCTTCACCTCTTACCTACCGCCTCACCTTCTCCCCAGATGCCGGAGCCTGAGATTTAACCCCTTCCGGCCCCCGAAGGGAACAGGGAAGACTAAAGACAACGCACCTATTTGCGTCTAGCAATTCTGTTCCCCGAGGAAACGTGGGCTTTAGAACGAAAGTACCAGGCCGCTCTCGCTAGGACTAAGTGAGCTTTTCCCTTCTTGTTTGTAGGGAAATCTGTCAAACTGCCTAGTTTGCCACCTCCCCCCACCTACCCCGGGCGTGTAGAAGTGTGAGCAGCTTTACTCCCAGCCTGACCGGTCCAGTCCCTGATAAGCCTCGGGGGTAGGGGGACGCTCCGAGGTCTAGGACATTGCAGCTGCTACCAGAAATATCGATGAGCCTTTAACCTCGGGTTTAGTACAGGAGCTCTTTCTAAGGCAAACACAAAGAACGTGTTTCTTCCTACAAATTAATCGCATCCTCCCGCGGTCTGGATTCAGCTGGTAAAGTAACTTAAGCCTTGTTCAGACTGCAGGGGTGGGCGGGGTGGACGGCTCGGTGTTCTGCCCATTATGCCTGGCGTTCGAGGTGCTGGTGTACGCAGGCCTGGACAGTCCAGGAGAGGAACGGGAGCCGAGCGGAGGAGGAGGAGATGGCGTCTCAGCCGCCACCTCCCCCCAAACCTTGGGAGACCCGCCGAATTCCGGGGACCGGACCAGGACCAGGACCCGGCCCCACTTTCCAGTGAGTGTGCGATTCTTCAGGCTGTGAGTTTGGTGGGCCCGATCGGGGACTTGTCAGGAGGCGGTTGAAGCGGTTGTTGGCGGAGGTGTTCCCTTCCCCCATTCAACCAGCCCCCAGCCTTGTGGGTAGGGGTCGCGGTGGAGCTGGGGCGCTTACCAGTGGGGATTTCAGTGTCTCACAGCTGTTTCTGAGCCGGCGGCTTTTAGCAGCAACGTTTTTTCGGGAGCTCCTGGGCGTCTCTCTGGGTCCCTGTGTTTGAAGAAAGGGGGGCGGCTTCCTATCCCTTCTGTTTACAAGAGACTTTGACACAATGGCTTCACCCTCTTTAAAGCTTAGACTTTGGGTCTGTAGCAGTTGAGAGAGGCATTTGCCCAGACAAGGCAGCGACAGGGAGCAAAGTTTCTCGTTAAAGGTGTTAACCTCTCGAGAAGTTAGTGAAAGCCCGAAAGGTTTTACGCAACTGGCACCCAAGCTGCGTACGCTTTTCATTCTTTTCCAACATAATTCAGCCAGTGTTTCGGATCGAGAAGCAACTTTAAAGCAGGAGTTCTAGATCTGAGGCCTATAGATGGCCTTTGTGTGCAAAATAGTATATTTTTCTGAGGCCTGTAGTTTTTGTTTTGTTTTTAATCCGTATCTGTTGGTTTATAGGTCTTTAAAAAGGCTAAAACATACAGAGTTGGGAGTGTTTCGTGGCCTCGTGTGGCTTTTGTTTGGTAGTGCTGTACATCTTAATTCAGATAGGTGTGATTCAAATGTCAAATCACCTACTATTGTAGGTTTTTCTGGTGCATAAAAACTCCAGCATATTACTGGAATGTATTTCTGCTGTGTTCTGAAATCTTTTATTTAAACATTATAGCTTTAACACAGTAACTTCTTAATTTAATAAGGACACATTACAATAAATAAAGCTTTAAACTCTGGTAAATCACGATGACATTATCTGCTACTATTTTTATGAGTGGGTTCTTTTTTTCCCGTTTTAGACAGCTTGTCTAATGAGAAAGGTTTTATTTTTTCCTGTTATTATTTTTATCTGTTAAAGTCCTTATGTGAAATTAACCATTTTCCCATTTTTTTCATTATGAAGTATTTTAAACACAGAGACTAGTAGAGTAAGATAATACCTGTATATTCACTACCCAACTTCAAAAAATGTTAACACTTGCCAGATTTATTTTTGAAAAGAAAAGTTAGACAGTTAAACTCTCCCATTCTTCTTTCCAGTGGTGACTGTTGTCCTTATTTGGTGTTTCGAATACTCAGTAATGTTTCTATACTTTAGTGCTTAGGTTTGTGCTAATTATATGCATTTTATATTTAAAGCTTAAAAATGTAACATAATATATATTGTATATATTGTAATTACATGTTACTGTTTATATATTATTTGTTAATATCTGTTTTTGTTTTTCCTGTTGCCCATTTTTCTATTGGCTTTATCTTTGCTTATCAATTTGTAAGAGTACTTTATTGTTGATACTAATCCTTTTTTGTTAGTACATTTTGCTAATATCTTTCACTGTGTGGCTTGTCTTTATATTTATGTTCAATTTTTTTGTACAGATGTTTTTGATTTTAATATAGCCAAAATTTTCATATTTTATTGTCTGTGCTTTTTGTCTTGGTTAAGAAATCCTGTCTACCTAGATCAGGACAGTTTTTCTGTATGTTTTAAATCTTCTGGTTTTCACATTCCTATCTTTAATACACATGGAACTGACTTTGTATAAAAATCAGGCCGGGTGTAGTGGCTCACACCTGTAATCCCAAGCACTTTGGGAGGCCGTGGTAGGTGGATCACCTGAGGTCAGGAGTTCGAGACCAGCCTGGCCAACATGGTGAAACCCTGTCTCTAATAAAAACACAAAAATTAGCCAGGCGTGGTGGTGGTTGCCTGTAATTCTAGCAACTCAGGAGGTTGAGGCAGGAGAATGGCTTGAGCCTGGGAGGTGGAGGTTGCAGTGAGCCGAGACTGTTCCACTACACTCCAGCCTGGGCAACAGAGCAGGACTCCGAACCAAAAAAAAAAAAAAAAAAAATCAATATGAACTAGGGAATCTAATTTTTTTTCCATATAGGTAACTAATTATCCCAGCATCATTTATTGAGTAGTCTGTTCCTAGTTTATAATGCCATCTATGTCATATCAGGTTTTCCTAAATATGTGGTTTTGTTTTGAGCACTTTCTGTTTACTAGCATCACACTATCTTAATTATAGAATTTTGTAAGTCTTGATTTTTGGATGTCAATAGTTTCCACACATTGCTGTTCTTTGTAATTGCCCTTGTTACAGTTAGACCTTTTTAAAAAGTCTTGATTGGGATTTTTATTGGAACTGAGCTGAATTTATGGATCAAGTAAGTTTTTTATTCCATGAATATTGTGAAAGCTACAATTGGTGAGAATTTTGATTATCTTAAATATCTTATCTCCATGAAGTTTTTTTTCTCATATTTTTTATTCCTAGATTATTTTTGCTGTGGTACTTGCAAACGGGCTTTCTTTTTTCCTTTTACATTTTCCAGTTGGTTATTAACTGGTATGGCAGAATGCTATTGATTTTTTTCTAATATAAATGTTAAGTACAGCATAATGTCAAACTCTTAATTAGTTCTGATGCTTTGGTTGAAATTCTCTTTAGTTCTATGTAGACAGTTCTGTCATTTACAGATAAGCTAGTATCCTTGTATTGGTCCTGACTTCCACTGGAATGCTTCTGAAGTTTTTCACTGTTAAGTGTGAAGTTGCTTTTTGTTTTTGACAGATATCCTGTCAAAATTCTATCTTGCTACTTTGCTCAGATTTTTAAATTTTTATTATTATTATTATTATTATTTTTGAGACGGAGTCTCACTGTGTCTCCCAGGCTGGAATGCAGTGGCGTGATCTCGGCTCACTGCAACCTCTAACCCACGGGTTCAAGTGATTTTCCTGCCTCAGCCTCCTGGGTAGCTCAGGTGATTGGCCCACCTCAGCCTCCCAAAGTGCTGGGATTACAGGTGTGAGCCACCACGCCTGGCCCTACCTTGCTCAGATTTTTATCACGAAGAAGTATTCAATTTTATGAATGGGTTTTCTGCATCTGTTGAGACCATTGTATGTGTTTTTGCTTTAATATGAAAACGTGGTGTATTGTATCAATTAACTTTCTAATGTTGAACCACCCTTGCATTTCTCAGTGAACTCTGGTTAGTCGTGATTTTATGCAATTTCAAATTCTATTCTAGGCCAGGTGGTGTGGCTCACATCTGTAATCCCAGCACTTTGGAAGGCCAGGACAGGAGGATTGCTTGAGGCTGGAAGTTCAAGACCAGCCTGGGCAACGCAGCAAGACCCTGTCTCCAAAAAGAAAAAGAATTCTATTCCAATATTGTAAGACTTTTGCATACATGTTCCTAGATGAAATTGAAATTTTCTTTCTTTGTACTATTCTGGTTTTGTATCAAAGTTTTATAGCTAGATAATTTTTTCTGTTGAGCCTGATTTTTTTTTTTAGACAGTGTCTCACCGTGCCACCCAGGCTGGAGTGCAGTGGTGTAATCACGGCTCACTGTAGCTTCTATGACTTAGGCTTAAGTGATTCTCCTGCCTTAGCCTCCTGAGTAGCTGGGATTATAGGTGCATGCCACCATGCCCAACTAATTTTTATACTTTTAGTTGAGATGGGGTTTTGCCATGTTGCCCAGGCTGGTGTCGAACTTCTGGCTCAAGCAGTCCACTTGGTGTGAGCCACCTCACCTGGCCTAATTGATTTCTTCATAGGTAGACTGCCTTCTCCTTAGTAGCCTTTTAGATTTTATCTGATATCTTTGGTCCTCTAGCTTTATTATATTGTATCTAGGTATGAATTATACAGACACACACATTTATATTTGTTTCTTTTTGCTCAGTACCCACAGTATTCAGTCTGAGGATTCATGTCTTTTTTTTATTTCAGGAAAATTCTCACCAATTATACCTTTAAATACTATTTTAAGTTTTGTTTGAACACTAGGCTTTCCTCTCTTCTTCTGTTAAGCGTTGTATCAGGAATAGTATCTGCTATAAGTAACAATATCTGACTTACTATGCTTTGGACTACAAAGACATTTATTGTTTAGTTAGCAAGAAGTCTAGAGATCTGCTGTCTCAGCATTGTCAAGGGACCTAAATTTTTCCTGGCTTTTTTTTTTTCTGTCAGCTCTCTGACTTGTGGGCCATCTCTGTCTTTTGTTTGTTTGTTTTGAGGTAAGTCTTTGTATTATCGGAAGTTTCTCTTTTTTAAGTATGTAATTTTGTTATATAAGCCTTGTTGTTGTTATTATTGTTATCAGGACAGAGTCTTGCTGTGTTGCCTAGGCTAGAGTGCAGTGGTAAAATCTCAG